CTCTCATTCTATCATTTAGTACTAATGATTATTTAATGATCCTAATCTTTTCCTTTGATAAAAATGCTTACCTATATGATGGTTCTTGCAGAGGTCATTGGCCGTGACCTTTGTCGCTCTTGAACACCCACAACTAATTGATCATCTAACTGACAAACATCTACGATATCCCACAATCAATGCCAACGGATCTCATCATCCTCAAGTAAGAGATTCAATCGATAGATTCCATATATTAAACTCTTTGGGCGCAAATCCAATTGATGCGTAAAGGATGTGTTTGGAGTTTCATCAAATAAAGTAGACCCAAAAGATCAAAGAGTCATCAATCCTCCCAAAGTTTCAGCTATTGACCTTGGAGACATTTGATAGAGGTATGGATCCCCTATTATACTTAGGGCACAAATTCAACAGATGGATCGACAATTAGAGGACATCGAGAATTCTATTGGAAGGAAGTAGATTTATTTGATTCCACTTCAATTAAATCCCCCTTTACCCAAAAGATCAAGGAGGCATCGATCCCCCAAAGTAGAGGCGTTCGATGGAGGCATAGATCTCATGAAACATACAGCAATTTTTGGTGCTCAAATGACCCTTTATGATAATACATTTTGTTCTCAGATTAATCTTTATCACACGTCAAATATACTAATGTGTCGTGCCATATCTTCCCTATGAAAATCTACTCAATTTTAATCGTCATGCATGTCATCGTCAAAATACATGAGTGGATCCACCTTAGCCCTCAAAGAGTTTTATAAACATTAGTAACCACCTCACTCCTCTTAGGCATGCCGACCCAAACAACATCAAACTTCCTTAGGCATCATTGATTTTTCTTATAACATTTTGGTGCCACTATCTTAATGGTGGCACCACTACACATAGGAGGAGCGACAAGATAGTAATAACTTGGGGTTCACTGAAGCCTAAGTTAGCACCATTACGCATAGTCTGTTCAATGACGATCGATCTACGACATGTATTAAATACCGATGGTATATCCACTATCATTAACTTGGTCGGATTCATCTTAGAGTAAGGCTCAACTCTGAATATGATGTGAGGCTCGACTTTGAATGTGATATGCAGGTTAACGATCTCAAGGGGAGAGATAATATTTAGTGAACCTCATCAAGGAAAAGGCTATCAGGGTAAGATCGTTAGTCGTTAAATCTTGTGTCTAAACAACATCATAAAAGAGGATATTAGTATAGTTACTTATGTTAATCACCATAATAAAGGATGTTAGTGGGTCACAGTTTGCATAATTTCCAACAATGTCTACACTTGTTAAGTGATATTTAGGAAGACCTCAGTTGGAAAGAGCACATCGATTAAGTTTCCCACTGAATAATAGAGACTTGGGTCATTGAATAGACACTAGTACTATATGGGGGTCTATGTCGAGATAGATGCACCAAGGATCAGGAATGTTAGTTGTTGCCTCTCATGAGTGAAGGTACTATAGGTTGGAGGGTGGAGCATCCTCGCTTGAACTCTTGTTGAGTGGTTCGGTAGGTTAACACTCCTGTAATATATAGCTCTCTATCTTTTCATTGTTCGAATGTCCATTCATGTAAAAGTCTAAAAAACTAAGTCATAGATTAAATATATAAAGCATTGGAGAAGGAGGGTTCAGATCGTATTCCGAGGAGACAAGTTGAGATTTGCATCGACTAGCTAGTCCTCGTTCAATTTTTAGATGGCCTCTAAAGAGGAGAGTATCTCCTATAGTCAAAGCACTCCTCAAGGGTTAGTAAAAAGGCTATTATCTATGGATGTGTCAAGTAGTTAAGACCAAAGCTCTAATCTCAATCAATCCCTACGAATAAAAAATGCTCCTTCCAACCCTTATTGTTTAATAGAGCAACCCGCACCTTAAAGCCCTCTTAAGGACTGAGGTAGTAGTCATTGAGCCCTTTGCACAAGTAGGAGGGAAAAAACAGCTTACAGGTTGGAGTTACACAGAATTCCCCGATGAAGATCATGAGATGAGTTGTGCAAATGAAGAGGGCCCTAATCGAGGTACTTACTACTGGGACACTCTTAGGGTAAGTATTTCAATGACACTCGACATGACCTTTTTGGAGTAAGGTTTCATTACCCAAGCCTAATGGGCTAATTGATTTATCAACTTCGTTTGACCAATCCACTAGCCAAAATACTTAATTTAAAGCTAATAATAGCATACTTATCAAACCCTTATTAGTTAATCTTAATCATGCCTACTTTCGATGTTGGACTAATCGGAAGTGTTACAGTAAGCGTCCAAAAATAATTGATGTGTCCCTTGTTGGGGTGAATATCCAAAGCCTAATGCGCCCATCTTGGGGTGAGTGTTTCAATGACACCCGATGTGCCCTTCTTATGCTGAGCATCCAAGCATTGCCGAATATGTCTCTCTTGAGGTAAGCACCTCAACAGCACCCAACATGTATCTTTCAAGGTGAGCATCCAAGCAATGTCTAATGTGCCCCTCTTGGGACAAACATATCAATAACACCCGACGTGTCCCTCTTAGGATGAGCATTCAAATAACACTTAATGTGCCCTTCTCGAGGTGAGTATCTTAAGGGGCAACTGATATGTCTCTATTGAGATAAGTATCCAAACAATACTTGATGCACCCTTCTCGGGGTAAGAATCTCAATGGCACCCAATGTGCCCCCCTTAGTGAGGATCCAATAATCTCCTAAGGCATAGCTTGCAAAATCACCACCTCGATAAATTCCTAGGACAACCTCCTCAACGAGCATCCAAGGTGTCCATCTAGTGAACGCCCAAGATATCCACCTCGACGAGTGTATAAGATGATAAGGTCAATTAGTTCCTAACGTCCTTGACAAGCGATCAAGGCAACCAATTCAGCTAGTTCTCAACCTGACCAGGCCAACAAACTCCTAATCTCAACATGTGTCTGAGTTGGCTAGTCCCCTAACTCTACTAGGTTGGTTAGATTTTGACCTTCTCAACGAGCATCCGAGGCAGTCAGGTCAACCAATTCCCAACCTAACCAAGTTGGCCAGCTCTTGACCTCCTCGACAAGAATCCAAGTTGACAATGTCTGTAAGTCCCCAACCCAACCAGGTCGGATAGCACCCGACCTCTTCGATGAGCGCCCAAGGCAACTAGGTTAACCAGCACCCAACCTCCTTGTTAAGTGCACAAGGCAACCAAGTCGGCCAGTGCCCAACCCGACCAGGTCAACTAACTCTCATCTAATCAAGTCGATCAAACATATGGGATCCCCTTCGTTTCCACATAGTGTATGTGCTTACCCAATTACTACACTTCTAGACCTCTCTAGAAGAGCTCCCAAAGTGCACCTTCATAGGGAATAAATGATATAAGAAATCTTCTCGACTAATAACAACTCAGCACATGGCTATATATGTGATAGCCTGGTTGGCATAAATAAGATAAGAACTATCCCATTGTCTATCAATATGGACATCAGTCCAAAAGGAGCGATCAAGAGTTATTTTTACTAAACAATATTTTATAAGATATTCTCCCTCTTTTACCTAATATGAAAAGTTATTATTTATATTATTACCAATGTTATATATTATTTCCTAAATTTATTCTATTCATATCCAAACTAATTTAAGTATTAGAGAGATCGAATTGGGATCCACCTTAGCCGTCGAAAGAGTTCTTAAGATACATCAGTGGCTTAGTCATCCCTCTCATACACACGGACTAGAACCATATCGAGCTAACTCAGGTGTCATTGACTTTTCCCCTCGATCGACTTGAGAATTTAATTTGCACAAGTAGAAATATTTATCCTTTTGATATTATGTTTATATGATAAAATTACATAGCTATTTGTTATTTGTTAGAATCAATTTAACTCTACATTTGAGTTAAGCATGTATTTTATTATTTTTTGTTTATTTATTTATTGATATGACAAAATTACATTCATATCCCTCCAAAATCAATTATTCTTTATATTTATCACTCTAAATTTAAATTTAACATTTATTAGCTTATTTTTGGTGTATTTAGTAATTGATATAACAAATTGCATACATATCCCTCCCAAATCAATGATTGTTTTATATTTATCCCTCTAATTATGAGTTTAACATTTATTTTCATATCTATTTATATGACAAATTTGCACACAAATCCGTTCAAAATCAGTGTTTTATATCTCTATAATTGAATTTGACATTTGTACCCGTATAAAAATATTTAAATACATTTGGATAAAATAATTAATCAAAATAGTACAGTATTCTAACTATTTAAAGTTTCCACTGGAAGCATATCTCTCTCGATAAGACTATGAGATTTTTTAAGAATTTATAAAGATAAATTTTAATTCACTAATAATTAAGATTTATAAATCTTAATCCTAATTCATCAATGGTTCCTTAATCTAAATCCTAAGCCATCAAAAAAATGAAATCAAATTAAAACTACTGAACCTTTTTCCAATGGCTGGAGTTCTTGAGACGACCGATAACAGTATCGATATCTTTATTGCTTTTGGTGACCATGTTCTTCTTAACAAGTGGCAAAAAGATTCCGAGTTTTACTTGCATCATCACTTCGGGGAATGATGTTGATTCATCTGAGCATCTCTTCGAAAGATTCCTGCCGACATGTATTGTCACTGGGCACTGATGATAGAGCAACCTCAGAATTATTGATAGTACTACTTCTCATTGTGTTGACTACTCCATGGAGTCATTATATCTCCTGTTTTGCTATTCACAGACAAAGTCAGAGCTATCAGAAACAAATAAGAATGAAACATTTGCTAGTGGCATATTGTGTGTGAATAAGGTTGTTTAAGCAAGAGATAATAAGAACTCATGACATAGTACTGAAGGAAAGGGTGCACGGCTTCTTTCTAATTCACTGGTTTTTCTCCTTCTCACCTTGTGAAATGAACAAATATCTATAGCATTTTCCTCAAATAAACAATAATAAGATCGATCTTGCTGGCACCAGAGAACAAAGCCCAGTAAAGGATGCAAATGAATCACCAAGAACGATAGTTCATTGCATTGAAATAAGTAGCTGCATTCAGAAGAACAAAGCAACACACCTAGATAAGTAAACGATGGTTCCCTCAGCAAAGGAAATCCTTATTACCGAAGAGAAAATGAGAACTTAAAGAAGAAGACTACTAATACTGGACCACCAGCAAATTTATTTGAGACGGGCATGACACGCTGAACAGGAAGCACCTTGAGCGGCAGCATGGGCTTCGATTTAGCTCTTCATCTGCCTTCGGACATATGAACCTCCTGCATGGAACCTTGGCCTGTCTTCAGCATCTGCTCACAAATAAGTGAGAAACAGTGTGGTTACTTCTCTTCGTCACTTCATAAACATGAAGGGTAAGCCATGCGTTCATAATATAGTACCTAGTTAGATGCATCATCCTGCTTGGCACCTTAGGAC